AAACTTCTGCCAAATTCATAACGAAATTCAATCAATAAATACGGTTTTGGCGCTCTTTAATGTGGCATGAGTGATCGCTTTGGCGCCTCAGTTCAAGTGGCAGGTGAACCCATCATATCTTTCTCTTTACCACCATAGTACGAAATAAACATGAATGGACATCAAAAGGTAGGCTATTTTATAAGATAACCTAAAACTTACTAAAATGTCTCATGTAATCGCTTATTCAGTGTTTCAAACTGCGGAAATTGTGGAAAGCTTATAAACAGTGTCACACAACAATACATATACCTCAGAATAACCATTCGGCGTCCATAAGCTCATCAGTCAGCAAGAAAAAAAATTACTATAAAGAGGAGCATTTTGCTAAATCTATGTGCTGTCGCTAATTGCAACCTGGATTTCATCCGAACCTTCTGCTCGGCATCTGAGAGAGAGAGCCAGCTGGCATTTTCACTAGCAGTGAGCCGTCCAAGACTTTGCTACTTTGTTATTATGAATATCTTGATTTTTATGCTGGTTGCGATTGTTTAATATGATGAATCTCATGCTAATTGCTGTGACTGTTCAGAAGTAGTTTTACAGTAACCTCTGCTTTTGACACAAACACAACACACCTGTGAACAGAGAAAGTACCTGCTTTTGAGTCATGGAGAGACAAACCATTTTATACTGTCTGAATAATTCTTTGAACAAATGTTTAAAGTAAATCTTGGAAATGTATTATTTTAATCATGATTCATAATGCTTTATAATGAGTACATTTTTTCAGGTAATATAAAAAAAGAAAGCAGAAGTTTGTTAGGCCAACACTATGTCACCATGCAAGCAGTGTGTCACTTTGTCCTGCTAATTTAACTTGCATTTTAACATTATTTATAAAGTTGTTGTCCTGTTAAAAACAGCCAATGAAAAGTCAGTTTTTACATGCATTGCTAAAAAAATTCCTGTGATCTTAGTGTCGGTCTATTTCATCCTATATTACTGATATTTGCACACATCACAGAGATATAATTCAGAAATTATTAATGAAGAAAAATAATGCATTCCTCTCTTTCATGATACTCTGTCATGCTTTCCCATCGAATGTTGTTGGGTCTAATACATGGTAATAACTTTGGTTTTAAGCAGTTTTATTTTTGAACATTTGCGCAGCAATTTTGGTGTGCTGGGTAACCACTTCATGTTCAGTGTTCAGTGTAAACCACATGAGAGCCACTGATCTATGGCTGCTGGTTTGGTTAAAATATTTGCATATGCATCAGTGATTGAACATGAACTGTTCCCTTGTTGCCCACAGGGTGGCGCACTTGGAGAACTATTCATGCATCCCTCCAACTGCAGCACATTCTGCACTCTAGTGGTTTTCACTCACATTGTGTAGTATGTACTGTATTTTTCATAGTCTATTCATTTTAGCCCAATGTTCATAGATTGTGAAGCTATTAATTTTGTTTTTCAAATGCTTAATGTTAAGGACCCCCAAACATGATCCTTTTTGTGGGATCCACTTCCTAAAATACAAAGGAAGCTACATTTTCTTATGTATAAAATATATGTGAAAATGTATATTAAAACACAACTATAAAGACAACTAAATTAAGTTGTTTAATTTATAGTTTATACTGTCATTGTAACAGTGTTATTTTAGTGTTTTGATACAGTTTTTATTAGTTTTTACTCAGTTAATGTTTATTTTATTTCAAGTGACATTTTTTTAATGGTTTTAGTTAACTTTAACAAACCTGCAGTGTACTTAAGAAATTTGTTAAAATATTGTTAACATAAACATATTTCATTAATATCATAAAGATATAGTTCACTCAAAAAATAAAATTCTGTCATAATTTTCTCACCTTCATATCATAACAAAACGTCGACTGTCTTTCTTCTGCAGGACACAAAAAAGTTATTTTGTCTTGGTTACCATTGACGTCCAGTGTCAAAAGAAAAAAACTGAAACATTTTTCTTCTTTTATGCTCCTTATAAAGTCATACAGGTTTAGAATGAAATGGGGGTGAGTTGAGTTTTTGGTTGAACTGTCCCTTAAAGATATACATTATTAGAAGAAATAATTTTTTCTCTCAGACTTTTTCAGAGATCTTCTAGAAATGTTACGACCCCCTAAGGTTCTGCAGACCCAAATGTGAGAGCTCCATATCTAGACACCTCTGCATTTGGTAATACCATGGTGTTTTATACCATTTTATGAATCCAATCAATCACTAAAGTCCTCAGAAAAATTATTGAACATCCTTTTTTTGCTTTAAAATACTTTATGGAAGTAAAATGGCCAGTTCACCGTTTCATGTTGATTGTAAATGATACGTAATGCAGTACAGTGTCAGCTCAGCTGGTGCAGTTCCCTCCACACTTCCTCTGGATCTGTGTCAGGAAGTGAGTGAAGACCCTGAATCATCTCGGACTGTTCTTCTTCACTGAGAGAGACGGCTCTCTTGGCCATCTGGAGCAGTGTGGAGGGCAACACACGCTCTGTGATCTCACAACACACTGAAGAAGCGGCCCATCTGTTGGCTTCACCTCGCCAGCTCTCACTGCTTGACACAGACACCGAGGCCGGCGCTAGATAACACAGCTACTGATACGCACATGCTCTTAGATTGATAAAACCACACGGAGACACCTGCAGAGTATTGAAGTGTGTGTGTTATCTGAAGGGGAAACACAAGGTCTGGACTGTAATTAACATAAAATTAATGCATTTTCTGAAGTGAATTATTATTATTACTTTTACTGAATCATCCGGTTTCTAGATATGGCTTGGTTTGGGTTCTACCTGCATTGTAAACTGATGTTTTTTGGCCACAGCTCCTGAATATTTTGCACTTGTGAAATATATGTTTGACTAGACAGATGGGACAGTTTATAAGGGTGCGTTCACACTTGCCATGTTTGGTTCGATTAAAACGAACCCTGGTGCGATTGCTCTGTTAGTGCGGTTCTCCACTCTCTGACACTAGGTGGCGCTTATGGAAAAACTGAATTTTCCCGTAACCTCCGTGGACAAAGCAGCATTACGATTAAGAATACTTCCTTTAGGTATTACATGGAGCGAAGATGAAAACAAAATGCCATCGAATCATTTCT